AAGCTGTTTGACTGCAGAAGTTCAGTATGCATTAATGTTCATGGGAGGAAACTGCATAGCTGTATTCAGAACCAGATCAGGAGAATACGGGTACTTTGATCCTCACCCCCGTTCTGCTCGTGGTCTTCTTCCCAAATGTAAACCTGGTACAGCTGTCATGTTAAAGTTCACACGTTTAACAGACATGATTAACAGAATCACTCATTTATACACATCTATTGGTGTATCTGGGTTTTGCTATTATGAAATCCAGTCAGTGGAGTTTAAGAGTGAGAACGCTGCTCCAGACAGAGACTCAACTGCTGCTGAGACCAACTCGCTGACAGAGATCGAACTAGTGGCAACAACTAAGCAAACTGGTAATCAACAAGTTACATCAAACACCCAAGAGTCTACTCCAGATGAGTCAGACCTGGCAGGTGAAGTGATGAACCACGCTGGTCCCTCTGTTTGCTCTGACACCCTGATGACATCATCTGAGCCAGAAGCTGCTTGTGAAGCAAGTGCTACTGTAGATCAAACTGCTGATTCATTAACTCAGAGAATGTTATCAAAACGTAATAAACAAGAACAATTAAAAATCTTGCGGCGATTATCTGTGTCAAAGAAGCCATCACAGAGAAAGGAAAATCAGAAAAAGAGAGAAAGGCAGTTGTATGCTACTGACGAAAGGTTTTATTCTAAAAAGAAAATGTATTCCAGGACACATGCTAACAGTTCAGATGTCAGACATGAAAAAAGTCTCTACAATAAGAATCTGTATAATAAAAACACCAGTTATCGAGAGAAACAACAACACAATATCAGGAAGCTTTACAGAGAAATGGCTGACTACAGAGAAAAGCAAAAATCATACATGAGGAGCCTTTACAGACGATGTGAACAAGTTCGACAGAAAAAGAAATCTTACATGCAAAGTCTTTACAGGGAAAGTGAGCAAGTTAGACAGAAAAAGAAATCTTACATGCAAAGTCTTTACAGGGAAAGTGAACAAGTTCGACAGAAAAAGAAATCATTCATTAAAGAGCGTTATGCATCTGATCTATCATTCCGGCTCAGACACAGAGAACTGATGAAACAGCTGATGAGAGACTATTACAATAACAATGATCTCTTTAGAAGGAGTCATAATTCTAGACGTTCTTCGAAAATAAAAAGAAAATACAGACGGATAAATTTACATATGCAGAGGTCAGGAGGTGAAACACAAAGTAGAGTGACCAACCAACCATTATCTGTTTGTGAGCCAGAGAACCCACAGATGAATGAAGCTATGGCTGTTTTCAGATCAAATATTAAATCTGGACCTACTTATGTGTGCACGTCGTGTGAGAAAGCTTCGTTCCGTAACCAGGTGAAAGTCTGCAACAGGTCAAATTATACAAAGTATCCATCTGTAGTTGCACAATGTCTGACTGGAAAGTTTCTACACATCTGCGGTGAAAGTTGTAATGAACCATGTTCTGTTCCTTTGGAGAGGAAGCATGAATGGATCTGCCACACGTGTCATGACTACATTAGAAAGGGCTCCATCCCACGCCTGTCTGTTGCAAACCAAATGGGTCTGTCAGAGATTCCACAGGAGTTAAAAGATCTGAACATCTTGGAACGACATCTGATTTCTAAATCTATTCCTTTTGCTAAAATTGTTCCACTCCCAAAAGGCCGTCAGAGACAGATAAGAGGTAATTTGGTGTGTGTTCCATCAGAAGTCCAAGAAACAGTGGATGCTTTACCCCGACTGAGAAGTGAATCTCAAGTGATGAGGGTCAAATTAAAGAGGAAGCTGTGTTATAAAGGCCATCAGCTATTCCAGACTGTAACCTGGTCTAAACTCATGCACGCTCTGCTCACATTAAAACAGATTCACCCACAGTATGCAGACATAACCATCAGAGACGATCCTCTGCTATGTGATCCAACAGGTGACAGCAGTGATGATGATGATAGCAGCATGGACTGTGGTGATTATGATGAAGATGACCTAATGCAGATTGATAACTTTGAGCAAAATGCAGTGACTGAAGCAGCAGGTGATGAGGAATCTGAACAGGTCATGACTTCTGATGACGATGAGCAGAACGTACAGAATGAAGCAGAATCCCAACAGAATGATGAAGGACAAGACTCAGATCTACCTAATGGAGGTTTTGCTCTAGAATCGTGCCTTCAGCCTCTAGACATTGCAGAGGAGATCCTGTGTTACAGTGACAGCACGTATTGTGTTGCACCCGCAGAAAGAAACAGTCCAGTCAGCTTCTTCAGGACACCCAAACTGGAGGCCATGGCTTTTCCTGTTCAGTTCCCTACTGGTCAGAACACTCTGGATGAACCGAGGCGTATTAAAGTCACACCCAGCTCTTATTTCAAGTCCAGATTGTTTCACATTGATGACAGATTTGCGAGAGACCCCAACTACTTGTTTTTTGCACAGTTTGTGACTGAGATCCACTTGGCTAACTCCAACATGATCATACAGCTGAGGAAAGGTAAAACTATGAGCAGAGATGGGCGGAGAATAACTTCTTCTATGTTACAGAATAAACATGAGGTTCAGAGACTGGTGAGAAATAAAGATGCAGTCAGATTTATGCAAACTCTGAGAGGAACACCAGCATACTGGCAGAAAACCACTAAAGATCTGTTTGCCATGATCAGACAGCTGGGAACTCCAACGTTCTTTTGCACCTTCAGTGCTGCTGAGATGAGGTGGAGGGAAATCATCACAGCTATAAAGAAGCAGCAAGGTGAACAGGTTGATTTTGAAAATCTTGACTGGTCCTCAAAATGTGAAATCTTGAGATCTAATCCAGTTACAACCATGAGGATGTTTGACAAACGTGTGGAAGCTCTGTTCAGAGACCTGCTCATGTCCCCTGCTCAGCCGCTTGGTGAGATTGTCGACTACTTCTACAGAGTTGAGTTCCAGCACAGAGGAAGTCCTCATATACACATGATGCTCTGGGTTCGTGATGCTCCTGAATGTGACAAAGATTCTGATCAAGCCGTCTGTGATTTTGTAGACAGATACATCTCAGCACAGCTGCCTGACCCAGAAACACAACCAGAACTCCACAAGAAAGTCACAGAAGTTCAGAAACACAGCAGGAACCACACCAGGACCTGTTTTAAGACCGTGAACTCTGGCTGTAGATTTGGGTTCCCTAAACCACCCTGCAGGAGAACAATGATCAGCAGAAACAATGAGGAACATGACCAAGCTACTGCTAAACAGAAACTCAGAACTTTGGTGAGTCTGCTCAATGAACCAGAAGCTGCATCACTGACTTTAGACCAGATTCTGTCTCGATGCACTTTAACCATGAGTGAGTATGAAGAATGCATCCAGTCCATGAACAGAAAGACGGCCCTGATCCTGAAGAGAGATGCAAAAGACAGCTGGATTAACAACTACAATCCACATCTGCTAGAGGCCTGGGACAGTAACATCGACGTGTCTTTTATCCTGAATGCATATTCATGTGTGGAGTATCTGACCAAATACATCACAAAGAAGGAAAGTGGGCTTTCTGACTATCTGTCTACAGTGATCAGTAGCTCTAACATGGATGGAGTCAATGAGTGTGAGGAGATGAAAGCAGTCATGCAGGCTTATTCTAAGAAAAGAGAGATCAGCGCTCAGGAGTGTGTGACTCGTGCTTGTGGTCTTAAGATGAAAAAATGTTCACGCAGCATTGTTTTTGTCCCCACTGATGATAACCCAGTGAAAATGAGCCGTCCCATGTCTTTCCTGGAGAACACGACACCAGACAGCTGCAACATCTGGATGACAAGTCTGAATGACAAATACAAATCCAGACCTGAGACTCCAGAGTACGAGGAAATGTGTTTAGCTGATTTTGCAGCAACATGCAGGTTTGTAAGTGAAAAAGAAAGTGTGCGCAAAGATGTCCTCCCTCTCCTCAACCAGCTGGGATTTGTGCAAAGGCGTCAGAATAATAAGCCTTGTGTCATCAGGTTTTATCACTGCTCTAAAGAGAAACACCCAGAGGAGTTTTACGGAAGACTGCTGAGACTTTACCTTCCACACAGATCAGAGCAGGAACTGAAATCACGCCGATTACAAACTCATCAGTCCTATTACAAGTCCGGCTGGGTACGACTACCAGGTTCAGAACATTCTGAGTTTGTCAAGGACATTGTCACCAGAAACCAGGACAAATATGAACGCAACAGTAAAGAGATCGAGTCTGCTCTTGAGGAATTTGAACGGGACAGAGGTGAAGGTTGTGATGAGTGGTCTAATCTTGCTCCAGAATCTGAAGTTGTGAGACTGCAGTGCGATGACCAGCCAGAGGACCAACAGGAGGATGTTCCAGACTACTGTGCTCCACCTGCAGCAGAAGTCAGAGCTGTCAGAGAAACACCTGCCATCGATCCCACTGTGTTGCGTCAGATGTACCAGAATCTAAACCAGAAGCAGGCCTGTGTGTTCTATGCAGTCAGAGACTGGTGTATTAAACGTGTGTGCGGCCTCAATCCAGATCCATTCTTTTTCTTTTTGGAGGGAGGTGCTGGTACTGGCAAATCCATGGTTGTCAGATGCATTCACTCTGAAGCATCCAAGATTCTGAGCAGACTGCCTGCCGAGGATGTTGACCTTTCAAACCCAACTGTTCTGCTGACGTCATTCACGGGAACTGCTGCATTTAACATCGGTGGCACCACACTGCACTCGCTCCTCAAACTACCCAGAAGCCTGAAACCTCCCATTCAAGGACTTGGTAACCAGCTAGATGAAGTCAGGTGTGAACTTCTGAATGCAGAAATCCTTGTTATCGATGAGATTTCCATGGTTTCAAAGCCTCTGTTTGCCTACGTGGACGCTAGACTGAAACAGATTAAAGGAAACCAGAGACCATTTGGTGGAATGTCAGTTTTAGCTGTTGGAGATTTTTATCAGCTACCACCAGTTCGACAGTCTAAGCCCCTCTGTGTCTACGACCCATCAGACATTGACCTTTGGCAGCCATATTTTCAGATGGCAAGTCTGACTGAAATCATGCGGCAGAAAGATGATGTTGCCTTTGCAGAGATGCTGAACAGGATCAGAGTGAAGGAAAAGACAGATGAGCTCTCTCCAGCAGACAGAGATATGCTATCACGCACCATCACTGAACCAGAACTCTGTCCCTCTGATGTGCTGCACATTTTTGCCACCAACAAGGATGTGGAAGCTCATAACTCAGCAACACTGGAACGGCTGCACGATAACATCATCACAATAGATGCAGATGACTTCCAGAAAGACCCACGAACTGGCAGAATGGAGAGGAAAGACACACCTTTGAAAGGAGGAAGAGGTGAATTGTCTGACTGTCTGAAAGTGGCTGAAGGAGCTCGAGTCATGCTGACGAGAAACATCAATGTCCAGGATGGCCTGGTTAACGGTGCTTTTGGTAAACTGGTTAGAGTGATAGCTTCTGAAATAGACCCCCAGCACATTTTTAAACTTGCTCTGAGAATGGATAACCAGTCATCTGTCAGGAGCAACCGCCATGGAGCTTCTGGGTCTGATGATCTTGTTTACATCGAGAGAGCAGAGGACAGCCTGAAGCAGAGAGGAGGTGTACGCAGACAGTTTCCTGTAAGACTGGCTTTTTCCTGCACCACTCACAAAACTCAGGGTCTCACGACACATGCAGCTGTGGTCTCACTGAAGAACATCTTTGAACCTGGAATGGCATACGTGGCTCTGAGTAGGGTGACTAGCCTCGGTGGACTGTATCTCCTGGGTTTGGATGAGAGAAAGATCTACGCCAATCCTGATGTGACTGCAGCACTCCAGAGCATGAGACAGGCCAGTGTGGATCAAATGATGCCTCTTCTTCTGGTGAGAGAAGCAGTAAGCAGACCTGACACTTTGACCCTAATTCACCACAACACAGAGGGTTTACCGGCTCACATCAATGACATAACGAGTCACCACGAACTGTCTTTAGCAGATGTGTTGTGTCTGACAGAAACACACCTGCAAGGTTCTTTTGTTGCAGAAAGTCTTGTTCTGGATGGCTACACCATGTTCAAACGCAGCAGACACCAGTCCTACACCAAGTTTCCTCAGATGGCCTGCAAGAGTGGTGGTGGAGTTGCTGTTTATGTGAAAAACCACATTCACGTCCGTGAGAAACGCTATGTGCACAATGTGACTGATCTGGAGTTTTTGGTTTTGAAGGTTGAGACACCGTTTCCAGCTCTGATTGCAGTCATTTACCGACCTCCAGACTACATCATGAGACCATTCATGGAGAACTTGGTAAGCCTTTTAGACTCTCTAGAGGTCATGGACTGTCATCCAGTCATTGTATGTGGCGACTTTAATGAGAATCAGTTTTCAGGTGGAAGGAAGCAGATTGTAGAGCACTTTCAGTCCAGGGGGTATGCACAGATGATCACTTCCGCCACCACAGACAAGAACACACTGCTTGACCTTGTTTTTATCTCTCAGCCCCAGAGGAGCTTACATTGTGGTGTCCTGAGAACCTATTATAGTTACCATGACCCGGTTTTCTGTGTGTTGTCCTCTAGCCAACCATGAAGTGAGGTGAGTTTTAATCATGGACAAGTGGAGTGACGTGTTAATGCAGAATAATGTTTTATTTTGAAAGTTTGATGATTTAACAGGATTGAATCAAATCTTTTCTAGTATAAAGTCTGTCTGAAATGAGAATCATGAAGTTTCACTTTGCTTTTAGCCTATATTTATAATCACAGTTTAAAGCATAAGTTATTGGATGACAGGTCATAATTATGGAACATGACAATGCATTTTTCTGATTGTTCTAAATATTGTAAATCACTACGTTGTTCATGTAATTACATTTTCTACCTTTTTATTACTATGGATTCATGTTTTCTACTACAAACAATTTTATTCAGAACATTTTTACAGATAAAATCTATATGAAAACTGATTTAGACAATGGCGGTCTGTGCATTTACCTGGGTGGGTGGGTTAAGGGAGGGTAAATGCACAGGTCCGACCATTGACTGCATAAAACCAGCCGGCACCCCACTAAATAGGGGGAAGGGGTGGTTGGGTGGGGGTAAATTTTCTTTTTTTGTTAGGTTTTTGGAAGATTTATCTCACACAGGAGACATGTTCTCCTGTATCCTTTGATAAAACACCTTCAAGCTTCTTCAACATCAGCACAACCCAAAACATCTCAGCATCAGCTTCATGAACTGATGAGTCAAACCTGCACCGCCATTGCTGGACCACACAGGGACATCACAAAGACTGCTGTTCCACGAGCTCTCATCCCACAGGATACAGCTCCTGTCAACCACCACCTGACCTTCTGGCTCTAAGAGCTTCACCTTGCTGCTGCCACTCTCTACACCCGCTGTTCTGAACCATCAAAGACATCTCTGCCTCCTGCCAGGGTCCAGGATCATCTCAGATGATGGAAGGTGTCAAATCTTTCCTGTTAATAATGTTATTAAATGCTAAATATTTCCTTCATGATGTTTAATGAAGTAGAAAAAATGTGCTCTCCAGTTTCAGGTGTATGAATGTTAATTATTGTCTATTTGCAGGTTTCTTCTGCCTTCATGTTACATCTGAGAGCACTGAACCAACTGAAACATTTATCAACACTCAGTGACATCTGGGTGTGGGACAGACCTGGTCAGGAGATGTTTATTTTCTTTTGCAGGACTCTAAGGTATTTGATAACATTTGATCATTAGTTTCATATGTTGGTGCTTTAACACTAATGTAATATTTTATTTCTCTGTATTGTTGGTACAGTCTCTTCCTTGATGCCTGCATATCCTCCTCTGAGATTCCTCTGTGTCACCGTCTGACCTCGTCTGACTCTGGTTGCTGCAGAGATGCTGTTCATACTCATTTCCTACTTCACTTTTGCAGCATCATGTCTACCTCATGAGGCATAAAGGTAACAAATCAACATTTTTACCTCCTTGGTTTAAAACACATTTCTATTTGAGTAACAAACGTGTTCTCTGTGTTCTTGTCTTAAATGCCTGTAGCTGAACGTCCTGTGCTACAGCAGCAAACACTGAAGCCGCAGGTTGTTGCACCAATAAACATCCACTCTGGCATGATCACACTAACATCTTAACACGGACACTCATTCAGCTGACGGTTTCCATCAGCAGATCCAGGAAACAGGAAAATGTCCCATATGATCAAACTGGAACTCAGCACTCATTTCAAGGCTGTCTCCACTTTATTTTGTCACCTGTCAGTTAAATGAACCATTTATCTATAATATGTATCTGATACATTATAGTTTTCATTTGCTTTAGTTTCTCCTCTCTGTTATTATTGTTAAAGGATAATGTAGAACTACAATGATGGAGGTAGCCCTGTGACAGGCTAACCCAGTGTTAACACTGACCAGTAGGCGGGTTTAGGCAAGGCAAGACTCACACAAACATATCATATGGTCACCTGCATCAGTGTCAGGTGCTGTCTGATCCAAACCCAGCAATCTTGTAAATATAGAACATCCCTACTTTAATACTTTATGTACTGAAATTGTTAAATTCCAAACAAGTAAAAATGAGTAAGCAGCTCCACTTTCTATCTGCTCTGTGCTTGAGTGAGTCCTGTCTGGGTGTGGGGTGTCGGCTGATATGTAGGTATAGGACAGGTGTTCCACATATGTGCTGTGACACCAGGTAAACTCATACAACACACCTCAGTGTTGAGATGGGAGTCAAACTGAAAGTATTCAAAGATGAACCGGTCATATCTAGTGAAGTGGGGGCTTTTTGATAAAAAATCTGACCTCAGGTCATACAGGTGACCAGGATTCTAAGATACATTAAACCAAACATCCCAAATTTAGGTATTTATCATGATTTTGATCTGTTTTAAACTCATTTTAAAGAACAGCTGTGGTATCAGAACACATTGTGTAAATATTTTAGCTTAAGGTTAACCATTAAGGTTTAACTAAACCATTTTTCACTTTTACATTTACAAGTTTTATAGAATACATTTTATTTTATTTATTTAACTAGTTCTCTGACTCACTAACTGCAACCAAAGCCCTGACATGTTCTCCTCTTTCCCCAAAAAATCTGAACTAGGGAGCATTTATAAAACTATGACAAACAAACAATCCTAATTCATGAATTACTGACCAATTTATTAACTCAGTTGACAGTATTTAAGATAATACTGAATTGTGCACACACACACACACACACACACACACACAAACATTAAGTGGAATGTTACCCTACGTACAGTGTGCTGCATTCACCTTTTAAGTTTTTAGTTTCCAAGTCAGAATAATGTTTAAGTTTTCTTTTTTGTGTTGGATGTCAGTGAGCTCATGCCTTCATCATAAATATACTTTGTTCTTAAAATAGTTTGAGTTAAAAAAACAAATGTTGTGTTCAGCTTAAAGCATGTCTCCACAGTACAAACAGGTGCCGTTGTCATAGTTAAATTATAATCATAATGATTATAATTTAAGGATGGTTGGTACAAGCTTCCATATCTGTAATTTTATAGTCTTTTTTATAACTGACTTTTCTTTTAATCATTTTGACCTCTGAGTTTTGTGTTTTAAGTCCTTCTTATTAGTGAAACCTTCTTTCAAACATTCATTTTCTAAAACATTTTTTTTCATTATTTTAACAAGGTTTTAAAATGTGCATTAGTGTTAAATGCTATACGCTTTTGTCATTTTTTTCTTTAAATTCACTTGAAATTCTTTTAATTTGAAAACATGAAATTATTTTAATTATTTTTCTCATATTTTAAAAAAATTACTTGATTGATTTTATAAATTGTAATAATTAAATTTTCAATATTTTTTGTTCTTTTACTGTATTTTTTTAAATTTTTTATTATGCTGTCCTACAACTTTAACGTTTAAATGAATATGCTATTAGAATTTGCCGTGAATTATATTAACATTTTACTTCTAAACTAACCTGTTTTAACTCAAATTTTCTGTATTTCAATAAAAAAAAATTTAACTTAAAAACATTAAATACTTCCTGGATTTATCACAATTTCTTTCTGGTCCACTCACTTTTATTTTTGATTAGTTGAGAGAAATTTAACAATTTAGAGATTTCAAGTCTGTTTCATTACGTTTTATACTGTTTTAAACTATGTGAAGCAATTTTTGATTCTATGTCTATGCTAAGTGCTTTATAAATAAACTGTACATCTATTGTGACCATTTTACTGATTTTCATTTTTTGTTGTTGCATCCTTTTTATATATATATTTTTTAAACTAGTCCTACTCAAATAACAGATATTTAAACATTTCAGCTGTCCAGTTTTTAAAATAGAGTTCAGTCATTTCAATTTGCTACTGTTTAGGATTTTTTTCTCCAGTCTTCACCTACTTTTTCGACTTCATTACACTTGTTCATTATTTTTCCTTCTAAATCGTTAAATACATTCAGCTCCTTTTGACAGTTTTGCTTAGATTCAGCTTCACTTGAGCTATTCAGCAACTTCTGCAATTAGTTTCTGAATTCAGCATATGATGCTAATTTCACAGTTCAGCTAAATGTAAAAATCAAACTGTTAAACTAGTCCTACTGAAATAGACATTTTAGATGTCCAATTTTTTTAAACAGTGTTCACAGATTTGAGTTTTCTGCTATTTAGGATTAGGTTTCTTGATTCTTCACTTACTTTTTGTGCTTTTTTTGCTTCTTTTTGCTTTTTGCTCTCACATCTTTCACTACATTCAGCTCATTTGACAGTTTAGCTTAGTTTCAGCTTACTTCAGCTATTCAACAACTTGAGCAATCAGTTACCAAATTTAGCATAAACAGCTAATTTCAGAGTTCAGCTAAATGTAAAGATTAAACTTTTAACATTGTCCAATTGAAATAACAGGTGTTTAGACATTTAAGCTGTCCAGATTTTTATACAATGTTCACAGATTTAAGTTTTTTGCTATTTAGCATTATTTTTCTCTATTCTTCAATTACTTTTTGTGCTTTATTTGCTTGTTGGTGCTTTTTGCTTCTACATCTTTCAAGACATTCAGCTCATTTTGACAGTTTAGCTTTGTTTCAGCTTCAGTTAAGCTGTTCAGCAGCTTCAGCTCAGCTGTTCAGCAGCTTCGGCTTACAGTTTCAGCTATCCAGCATTCAAACAGCATTTGTGCAATAAATGCAATTTTTCTAGTTGTTTGAATGCTGTTAAGCATTCAAACTATTGTTTTCCTGTTTCTCTTTATTCTTCTTCTTCTTCTTCTTATTCTGCTTCCGTACACTTTTTGAACCGCTTCTTCTCCTTCAAATTTTGAGCTATTTCAACAATTTTATACCAAAACGTTCAGCTCGTTAAGCTCTTTCCGGCTATTACTTTTGGCATTGATATCTTTAAAATTTTTCGAGTTATTAAGCTTTTTCTGCAAAAATTTTCCCATTGAAATGAATGGGATTGGTCAATTTTCAGCAAATTCCTATCACTTTTTTGACCTAAAACTCTACTGGGTTCCTTTTAACTCAGAGACTTCATTCAAAGTTTAACAAACTCACAAGACTTTCCTGTTTAACACATTAAAGAGGCTTTTTGATATCTTTTACGGTTTTTCTAAAATCGCAGGTAGAAGTTGAGGTACGACTTGAAATTTTCAGAAAAATTCACAAAAGTTATAATGGGGAAAGATAGGAGCAGTGACCCTCCCTTGCTCCATTTCTGGCATTGTAGCAAGAGAACCGTAGGTCCGATTGAAATGAAACACACACTGGCTTACAGCTAACAAAAATACCTTCGTTTTGAGCTATAATCCATGACTGTACTCCAAACATTGTGGTCGTACGGTTAACTTGTTTGAAAAAATTCAAATTTAAAAAAATGTCTCTCCCCACTGTAAACTGAAGATTCCGCACTCTAACTTTTGAACTTCACATCTTCTGTGAACAACTCTTTACTACCCCCAGACCGTTTGGACTACCAAAACAAATTATAACTCAAAAAGTAGGAATTTTTGTCAGCTTTTCAGAATGGGTTTCATTTTCTCTGTAGGTGTTACCGTTCTTTAGCTACAAGCCTCAGAAGGAGGAGAGACCCAGATTATGTCTCATTGAAACCCATGTTAAAGGAAGAGAGATTTTCTCCTGAGATCGGCTTCACACAGCTAAAAGTTTCTCGTCATAGCTTCTAGATAATTCATGGTAGGCACATACAAATCGGCACAGATGATCATCAAAGTCTTCTGCCACTCACGCTTTTTGAATTTTTCAAATCGGTGCAGTACTTTTCGAATGGTAATGAGAAGTTTGACAGGTCCAATTTCACTTCTGAAGGACAGATTTTAAGGCTTCTCTCATTAACAGGAGTACAGCTGCAGGCCTCCAACAGCCAAGGGGAAAAGGCGGGAAAACAGTGCTGCTCTCTGATTGGTTGAGAGTGTTCAACCATTTTCTGTCCAATCAGGATCCAGCACCCACACAAATGACACATCAAATCGACCAGTTTGGTCTCAGGAATCTTGTATTCAATTTTAAATGCGTTATCTG